TTCTCCCTGGTGGCATAGTGGGTATGCATTGGGCTCAGAATGTTCTCCCTGGTGGCATAGTGGGTATGCATTGGGCTCAGAATGTTCTCCCTGGTAGCATAGTGGGTATGCATTGGGCTGTGATCCCCAGTTCCACACCACCAGCCACTCCTCAGGAGATGGACGGGGCTGTTGACTCCCCTAAAGGGTTAGTCTTGGAAACTCACAGGGGCAGTTCTATGCTGCCCTATAAGGTAGGCATTGACTCAATGGCAGTGAGTTTGGTCTGAAGTGTGAGGGGCCTCTAAAGTAAGGTGACCAGACGTCCCACTTTTTAGCAATTTTTCCCGAGTCCCGCGGCGATTTAAAAAGTCCCGATTTTTGGAAAGAATGCACGACAAGCTAAGGTGTATGATTTTCGGCTGCCATGTGGCTATTTCGCCAGGATAGGAGTTTTATCAATGGTGTCCCGCTTTTGTCCCGCTTGACCAATGTTAAAATCTGGTCACCTTACTCTAAAGCCAAGCCTTCGGCTTCTTGGAAGACAATGAAGGTGAGATTCAGGCCCCAGCTACCCAGCATGCAGCAAAGAGAGACAAAACCTCGGGCCACTCTGGGCAAAGCTGGGGTCGTTGAGTGAGGCCCCGGAATGGTTCTGAATAAACCAGATGAGTGGCAGCAGCTGGGGAGGGCACACGTTAGACAGAGCTTCCTTCTCCTCCCAACCAGTCACCAGCTGCCATCACGAAGATGCCAACTCTTGGCAAACCATGGGGATCTGAGCAGAATGATGCTCTGTGGGGTTTTTAACGGTGGTTTTTCTGATGTGGATGGTGTGTTTGTCCGGGTAGACTAGAGAAGCAAATTCATAGACACTCATATGGGTATAAAAAAGAGCTTTCCATGCAAGAGCCACTGTACATTAAGAAAACATCCCAGCCCAGTCCAGATCAAGTCCATAAATCTGATATTAGCCCATCTGTCTGATACCAATCTATAAAGTCCTCTTCAGACTCACGAAACACGTGCAATGACGCCAAATGCAGGAAAGCCCCGATGGACAGACTAGACTCCACCCCTTCACTCTGAATCCTCTCAAGTCCTAAATGCACAGCAGATTATGTAACGACCACAGATGGCCAGGGCTTTCTTCCCAGGCCCCTCTGACCTTTCGGGGAGCAACCCAGGACTTTAACCCTCTGTACCTCCCAGGGTCCCCTCTCTGCCCTCCTCTTCCCCGCCTCCTCCAAAAAAACCCTGACTGCCATTGGGTCCATCCCAACTCACAGCGATCCTATAGGACAGAGTCCAACTGCCCCTGTGGGATTCTGGGACTGTCACTCTTCCTGGGTAGAAAGCCTCATCTTTCTCCTGAGGAGCGGCTGGTGGTTTCGAACTGCTGACCTTGTGATTAGCAGCCCACCCATAACCACTATGAAGCCAGGGCTCCTGCTTGCTTCCTAGCATGGCTTGAAAAACCCTACTCAGAGAAGAGAAACCAAGGAGCAGGGGGAGGAGAACTACGGAGGATGGGGTTGGTGAGTTGTTTAAACTGTTGAATCCAAAGTTGATGATCTGAAATGTGAACCCCCACTGTGCCGGTTACATAATCTTATGTCAACTTGATAAACAGAGGGAAGGGGTGGAGTCTAACCTGTCAATTGGGTCACAGCCTGATGGCACCTCCTTGTGGGCGTGGCCTCCTCATAAGGGGGATCCAGGGAACCTCCTCTCTCTCTCTCTCTCTCTCTCTCTCTCTCTCTCTCTCTCTCTCGGCTTCACCTTCCTGTTGACAAGCCACTTCAAGCCACACTGATGGCAGCCAGAGCCCTGGAGATGCATCCACTGCCATCCACTCTACAAGAGTTTGCACCCACTGGCCTGTGATCTTCCTGCATTCTGCATCATTGTGCGTGGCAGTGTGAGTCTGAAGAGGGATTTAGGGACTAGTATCAGACTTACGGAGTAGTATAGGACTTGCGGATTTCATCTGGGCAGGGCTGGGATGTTTGTTTGATTTATAATTACTTCTTGATGTAAAGCTCTGTCTTCTACATATATGAGTGTCACTGAATTTGTTTCTCTAGTCAACCAGGTCTAACACACCCACCTAATTTACAAATTGTAAACACTTTAAAAAATTATTTAAATCCCCATTCACCACTCAACATCCTGCTTCATGGTTTTCCCCAGATGGCCCCTGACCAATGGTATCAGCCACTCACTCGCTGTGGGTGGTGCCCTGTGCCCTGGAGTTGATTCCAGTTCCCAGCGGTCCTTCAAGGTCAAGTAGAACTGCCCAGAGGGTTTCCTGCGCTTGTGGTTTCCGGTGTCATAAGTGTTGGATTGCTAACTGCAGCTCAAATCCACCAACAGCTCTGTGCGAGGAGGAGGAGGCTGCCTCCTCCCGTGGATGTACAGCCTATCTGGGGTCACGGGAGTCAGCAAGGACTCTGTTGTTGTTGTTAAGTGCCGTCGAATGGGCCCGACTCACAGCGAAACACCGCTTTACAAGAACAGATCCCAGGCTTATCTCCTGCCGCTGGTGGGTTCGAACTGTTGACCTTTTGGGTGGGCAGCGGAGCACTTAACCACTGAGCCACCAGGACTCCATAAGAACTAGCTCTTCCCTAACAAACACACTGTCATCACCGCAATTCCAACTCGTCGCCACCCAAGGGGACAGGGTAGAACTGCCCCTGCGGGTTTCGACGGCTGTAACTCTTGACAGGAGAGGAAAGCCTCATTTTTCTCCCACAGAACGCCTGATCGTTTCGAACTGCTCTCCTTGAGGTTAGCAGTCTGTGGCAGTTAGATTTTATGTCAATGTGGTGGTGCCTGGGTGGAAAGAAGGGTAGCGTACAACCTGTCAATCAGGTGGTAGTAGCCTGGTGCTGCCTCCTCCTCGTGGGAGTGGCCTTTTGTATAAAGGAGAGAGCAAAGGGAGGTTTCTCTTCTGCTTCCTTTTCCTTCCTGCCTCCAGGGGCAGATTCATGTGGGCCAATGACCCTAGGAGCCAACCTGGGAGCTGTAGGCACGCTGCCTGCCGATGGATGCGTTCAACTCGGCACCCAAGGCCTGTGATCTCTGCAACTGCTTCACCTTTCTGCAGCATTCGCCTGCAGCTCCGTGAGGCTGAAGAAGGCCCCTGCTAGGGTGGGATTTATCAACTTGATTGGACTGGGCTTGGGATACTTTCTTGGTATAAAATTACTTCTGTTAAAAAAAAAAAAAATTACTTCTGTTTGGGCCGGGGCCGAGGCCGGACCGGGCAGCCCCCACCTCCTCTCTGGCTCCTCAGGAAAATGAAACTTCACAGCCACCATTCCCAGCCTCTCGGGAAGATGGAGGACCTATTGAACAATGCAACTCCTGCCCCAGCACCCCAGGAAGCTATTTACCTTCCCAGGCAGATCTGCATGGCCCCTTCCACCAGTGCTTCAAAGAGCAGGTCTGCAACAACGAGATGACCTCCCACCCACGGATCGCAGCCTGACTTAAGGTCCCGCAGCTGCAAGCAATAAAGTAATAAAGATTCTCCCTTCTGTTAACATATACGTCCTTAGCTCGGACCCTACATAACTCCCACCGCCTCTCCGACAAGCTGTGAGTCCCCTGACCTAACCCGTTGGGTCTCAGAACCACCCAGGGACTCGTGCCCCCCATCTCTTTCTCTGCTCTCCCTTCCCTCCCAGGAGTTCTTTCCGTACCCCAATAAAAATTTTTTTAACCTCTTATTCCTGACTAAGCCTCATCTCCTTCTGCGCCTCCTTGTCCAACCTCTCAACTTCTTGATATAAAGTTCTTTTATATATATATATATATATATATATATACACACACACATACACACATATACGTATATATGTATATATATACATACACATATACATATATGTGTATGTATGTATATATATATATATATATATATATATATATATCACTGGTTTTGTTTCTCTAAACAACCCAGCGTCACACACAGCCCAGCGCTTACCCACTAGGCCACAGAGCTAACTTGTGGCCAGAAAATGGTAAGAATCCAAACTCCAACTGTCCCCTGAGCTGTGGCATTCCTGCCCCAGCTCAGCGTCACACTATCAGGCTGAGAATTGAGGTGACGATGACTCCTTTAATGTAACTTAACTTTTATTGAGTCCTTTCAGTGCCAAGGGCTGGCAAACCCGACCCACGAGGCAGTCCCTGCTCATGAGGAGCTCACAGTCTAGCCAAGGAGACAGGCTGGGTGGGAAGCCACTCCCACAAAGAGGGGGTGCAGGGGCCAGCAGTGAGCAGAGGAGGAGCTTCCCCTCTAGGCTGTGAGAGAAAGCAAATAGGAAGGACATTCTTGGCCCTCCCTCCTTCCCTGCGACAGCCCTGCCTTCTCTCACTCTGTCTCGGGGCACCACGAAGGGGTGAGCGAGAGAGACCAAGGAGAGGGGGGCACAGTGCATATGCCCTCAAAAGTCGGGAAGACCCTGGCAAGCTTAAAACACAATCGTAACTTTATTTCCCAACGCTGCAAACCGGCGCAGCAGAAACTGAGCGGATCGGGGAAATTAAAAGAATAAACACAGGGGCTGGGCCAGCCCAGTCCACTGCCGCAGGCACAGGGGTGGGGAACGGGGAGCGGGGTGCCCAGGGCCCAGGAAGTAGGGCAAGGTGCGGAGGTCCCTGATAGAGAAACTCAAAGCAGGGCGCCAGCAGCCACAGCTAACAGAAGAGACACCAGTCCAGCCACGGGAGCCTTAGAGCCACTAGTGGAATCCTGGACCCCACCTTTTGTGGGGTACTGCCCCATATTACTGCGGTCCTGGTGGCCAGCAGCACCGGCAGCCAAGTGGAACCCCTCTTCCTGGAAGGTCTCAGGTTCTGTCTCCTTCCGGGGAGTCGGGCTGGGGGTCGCTGGGCTGGGTTTGGCAGTGGTGGAGGCAGTGGTTGGGGCTGGGGTGGCCGTGGTGACAGGGGTGGTCTGGGCTGGGGTGGTGGTTTGGGGAGGGGGCAGCAGGACCAGAGGAGGGATCCGGGAGGCGAAGTAGGTCCTATTGCGCAGGTCGGAGTTGCAGCGGGAGCCCTCGCAGCAGGAACCACTGAGCACGAACCCCGGGCCTGTCACCCCATCGCGGGTGCAGAACTCGTCCTTGACACAACCCCGTACGGGTAAGGATACGGTCACGTTGGCTGCAGGAGGGAGACAGAGATGAGTCAGGGGTTACAGGTAAGGAGGAAGCACAGCCTGAATGCAATTTGGGGTGACTACCAGCTAAGGATCCCCCAAACGGAGCTCAGAAGGGCCCTACAACCTTTCATCCAAAAAGTTTCAACTCAGGCCCCATTCTCTTTGCACCAGGAGATCCACATTTCCCAGAGTCCTTTGAAAGGGAAGCTGTGTAGGCATGTCCCACATTGCTTTGGAACCAAGGCTTCGACCAGAATAGAACATCATTCACACAACCAAAGATCCTGTTCGTGATTTTGGCTGCTGTGAGATTCAGTCTGACTGCGGTTGTCGGACCCCCATACCCCCCAGCGACTATTCAATAAAGTGATTTGATGGGGGAGGGGGGTGGAGCGGGGCATCCTGCTCTTTCCTCTCCACCATTCCCCCACCACCACCACCCTGCTCTTGGTTGCCCTCTCTCCCCCTGCCAAAATGTAGCCTAAGAGTCAGCTGCTGCCAAGGGCTCCCACTGCAACACCTCCTACAGTGCCCCGGGCAAAGGAGCAAGCTGGAAGAACATCATCTCCCATGATTCCCTGAGGCAATGACCAGGAAGCTCAGCTATTACTCTTGAACAGAAGTATTAGCTTGTATGAAATCCGGGGATAGGTACATCGATTGAGACACTCAGCTGGATTAATGGCTTACTAGGGGTTCAGGGGGGGAGGCTGGAGGGAAATAGGGAGCTGATACTGAGCACAAGAAAGAAGAAAATGTTCTAGAACCGATTGTAGAGTTGCTGACTCAACTCTTCACTGTGACTCAGCTATGGAAGTGTGTATGTGAATTATATGTCAATAAAACTATTTGAGAATAAAAAGAAAAGGATTAACTTGTGTTTATGGGTCCAAACCCCTTAGGTTCATGGGCACAAACTCTACCTCCCAGAGCACCTGAACAGGAACTTGGCCTGTCATAGCCTGTCAGCCCATTCTGCACCTCTCCGCCCTCTACGAAGGCATATTTCCTCCACTAACTCAGGAGCAACAACATCCCCCCACCCCCGGCCACAAAGTCCATCGACATAACGTAGCACACAAAGTCTACGTCTACTTTGGCAAGCAGCATCGGAGGATCCTAAAAGCTGGTGCGTGGCCATCGTAGGTGCAACTAGAGGCCTCTTCCTGTCTGGAGGAAAGGAGGGTAATGAAAAATTGTAAGGCACATGGCAACCATAGACTAATAGACTAGGCAGACATCCCTCTTCAGGACCCTGAGACCAGAAGAACTAGATGGTGCCCGGCTACCAGCGCAAGGTGCTCTGAGAGGGATCGAATTAGAAGGTGGGAAACAGATATGGAAAAAGTCAAAATCCTGAAGGATCCTAGGCTTTCTGGCCTGATAGAGGCTGGCGAAAGCCCCAAGACTCTCTCCCTTGGTCCCCCTTGGAGTCTGGACCTGAATTCAACCCTGTGGCTCAGCCACAGGCTGGGGGAAAGATAACACGATTGAAGTCCGCATGCCTTAGCAGGATCACGTCTCTGGGATGAAGTGGACAGAACTTACCCAAGGACAGCGTTCAAAAGGGTTAGGAAAGGAGGAGTGGAGGCCAGGCACACGGGGAGAAAGTGGGATGGGTGACAATACATCGAGGGGATCATGACTGAGATGAACCGTTGAATGTGAAGATATGCTCTGTAAGCCAGTGCACCATAAAACATTTGAGAAAATAAAAGAGCTGATACCAAGGGCTCATAGAAAGTAAATGTCTAGAAAAGAATGAGGGCAACATATGTACAAACATGCCTGATGCAATTGATGTATGGATTGTGATAAGAGTTGTACGAGCCCCCAATAAAATGATTTTTTAAATAAATTGAAAACGTAAACATCCCCCATCATCACGATGGACTGAGGACAGCGTAAGAAAATGCGTAGGCCAACAGAACCAGGGAGCCCACCGTGCCTCCACTAGATGACCGCAACTCCTTCGGCAGCCCAGTGCTCCCCGGGCTCACTCACCTGCCGTCAAGGTGACGTTGCCATCGAAACAGCCCTTGTAGACCTGGTCGCTGGCATTGTAGCAGTTTACGACGGGTGGCGCCTTACCCTGGCACGCCTCGCGGCTGAGCCCCACGCAACTGTAGCACTCCACGCCGTTGGGCTTGTACGCGCTCTCATTGCCTGCAAAGGAGGAAAGGACTCCAGCTCCACACCCCAGCGGCGCCCAGAAGCCCCGCCCACGGGCCCATAACCCCGCCCCGGGCGTGGCCCCGCCCCCTAGCACAGCCCCGCCTCTCTGTAGCTGCGCCCCTGTCCCTGTAACCCACTCACCTGCAGGATTGAGCGCTCGTGTGGTGAGGTTGACCTTGGTATTGCAGCGGTCCTGGGTGCACTGATGCAGTTGGATGAAGGCCAGCAGGCCGTGAAGGTCCAGTCCGCGGTCATTCTTCCCAGGGAGCCCCGAGCCACATCCCCGCACTGCCACGGAGAATTGCCCGTGGACTGTGGAGAGGGGGCGGGGTCAGAGAATAGTGGGGTCTCAAGGGGGCGGGGCCTCGAATACGTTGCTATCTGGGCGCCTAGGCCCTAGCAGAACGTTTAAGACTCCTGGCAGGAAGGTTGGTGGTTCAAACCCACCCAGAAGCGCCTCGGAAGACAGACCTGGTGCTCTGCTTCCAAAAAGTGGCAGCTTTGAAAATCCATTGGAACCAGCACGACTCTGAGCACACTGGGTCGCCAGGGGTGAAATGTATTTGACAGATCAGGAGACTAGAAACCGGCCAGGTCAGAGGATTAGGTCAGCGCAGCTCGCAGGGGTATGATGGAGGCGAGAAGGACGCAAGAGGCGGGAACGTGGAGGGGCAGAACCTCAAAGAGCCGGGTCCTAGAGAACAGAGTGGCTGGGATGGCAGGGCAGAGGAGGGGAAAGGCCACATGGGTATGGTCAAAGAGGGGCGAAGCAGCTAAAGCTTCGCCTGCAGGAACAACTGCACAGGTACATAATCAGAGCCGTGAGCCTTCTAGGGAATAGGGGTTTCGGTCTCACATCCATCGAGCCAATGCTGACTCCAGGCGACCCTATAGAACAGACTAGAACCCCGTGCGGGTTTCCGAGACCTTAACCCCATATGGGACAGGGTAGAACTGCCCCGGTGGGTTTCCAAGGCGAGCGGTCTTTACGGGAGTAGAAAGCCACGTCTTTCTCCCACGGGGCAGCAGGTGGATTCAAACGGCTGACCTCGCAGTAGCAGCAGCCCAACCAGCGCATAACCTCTCTGCTCCCAGGACTCCTTAGTCCACCCTAAAGGAGCGGGGCTTCCTCACGGGGGCGGAGCCTGAGACTATGGAAATGTAGGTGACCTCTTGGGGGGCGCGGGGCGGGGCGGGGGGAGACCCTCCATCTCCTGAGGTGGGAAGGGGAACCTTACAGCCAGGAAAGAAGGGAGCTGGGGGCGTGTCCGTGGGGCACCGAAACGAATAGGGTGTACCCACAAAGAAGGGCGAGGCCCCAGGAGGGTGAACGCGGCTGCAAGACCAGGGCTGCCCGACCCAGTTGGCCAGTCTGAGCCTCCCAGCTGCCAAAGGCGGGTTGGCGAAGGGCAGGCGGGGAGTTAAAGGCTCAGCGGCGGGACCAGCCCAGGCCCACCCCGCCCACCCCGCCCTCGACAGGGGCGCAACGGAGAGGGTGTGGCCAGAGGCGGAGGCGGGGCTACGAGGGAAGAGGCGGAGCCGGACTGGAGGGCGCTGAGCTGTCCGCGTGGTCCCGGGTCCCCCCACTCACTGGTCTCCACCGCTCCCACGGCCTCGGTGCAGACGTCCACGCCTGGCGCGCACTTCACTGTCTTCATCTTGTGCGGGGAGCACCCGTCGTCCGCTTTCTGCACGCAGCTGTAGCACTCCAGGGCCCGCGCCCCTGCAGGGGGTGACCCGGGAGAGCCTGAGAGGTCGGCCCCCAGAGGGGAACTGGCGCTTCCCACGCCCTCGGACCCCAGGAGGAGAGACTTGGAGACACAAACTTTTTCGGGATAAGGGATGGGCGGGACAGGTTTACCCAAACCTGGGGGCGCGTGATGCACTGCACCCCTTCCTTCACGCCAAGAGTGGGTGTACCTTCCCATGGCCCCTCGCTGTGGGGGATCCTGCCATGAAGCCCCCTCAAGGATATGGGGCGGGGGTAGGTCTCTTCCCAGAGCTTTCTGCTCAAAACCGGAGCGATCTTCCCATTCGGCTCAGAATGGAGAATCCTTTCCCACAATATTCTATGTATATGATTGGGGACCTTTCCCACAGCCCCCTCTGCTCAAGGGGATTGTTCCCATTCCCCCTCTGCCCATAATGAGGGCACTTTCCCACAAGCCCCTCTGATCAGGGTGAGGGATCCTTCCCACAAGCCCCTCTGATCACATTGGGGGGCCCTTTCTACAACCCCCTCTGTTCACAGGGGGGCCCTACTCACACACCCCTCTGCTCATCATGGGGACCCCTTCTCACAGCCCCCTCTGCTCATAGTGGGGGCCCTACTCACAGCCCCCTCTGCCCATGGTGGGGGTCCTTCCCACAGGCCCCTCTGTCCATGGTGGGGGTCCTTCCCACAGCCCCCTCTGTCCATGGTGGGGAGCCCTTCCATAGCCCCCTCTGCTCAATATGGGAGAACTTTCCCACCCTCTCTGCCCATGGTGGGGGGGTCTTTCCCACAGCCCCCTCTGCCCATGATGGGGGGGTCCTTCCCACCGCCCCTTTGACCAGGGTAAGGGATCCTTCGCACAGCCCCCTCTGCTCAAGATGGGAGAATTTCCCAACCATCCTCTAATCCTACAAGAGGGTGCAAGGATTTCTTCCCACAACCCCGTCTGCCCCGGGCAGGGAAGGCTAGAACAAAAGAACTTTTTCCACAACCCTTTGAAAGAACTGCTCTAACTGCCACCTCCCCTCTCTGGGGGCCCCTCCACCCACTCGGGGAAGCAGACCCACCTTCCTGGAGCAGTAAGGGCAGCAGCAGCAGCCAGCCTGCCTTCCAGATCATCGCTGGGGTGCTTGGTCTCCTGGCGGGGTCCATGGCTCCCTCCTGCTCGCTAGGCGTCCCCCCTAGGTGTGCCGCCTCCCAACCGGGGCCCTCTTACCTGAGCCCGGGATGAGTAACATCCCCCTAGGCAACCTTGGTCTTGCCCAACCAGACCAAGTCAGCGTCCACAGTGAGGCGGGGCCCTCACTTGTAGGTGCGTCACCCACGTCACCCACACGGGGAGAGCAGCCCCTGCCCTGTGCGGTTACCCAGGAAGAACTGGGTTGCAGCCAAGTCTCCCTGATAGTCCCAGGGAGCCCGTCTGAGTGGGAGAGGGTGGACTGAGAGAGGTAGAGTCTGAGTCATCAACACTCAACCATACCCCAAAGCATCCATACAGTGAATGGGGGGCTCTGGGCTGGGTGCTACTGGGGGGCAAGGCTGAAACAGCCCCTGCCCTCCCGTGGCTCACCGTCTCATGGGGGAGACCAATGCCGATCAAATAATGCTACAAATTCTTTGTAACTGAAGGTAGGACAGACAGTGGAAGGAAGCAGTGACCAGGAGGCATGGAATCTAGGACAGGGGCCTGATCTGTGAAGGGCTTCCCCGTGTGACCTTCCATGGTGATCTCAAAGACATAGGGGCAGGTAGCCGAGCAAAGGATGACGAGGGGGCACTTCACAACCTGTCCCCAGAAGAAGTAGAGGGTGCCCAGCTCCACCACCCAGTAGAAGGTCCTGGATAGACCTGGGAGGAGAAACGTGGACTGGAACTCATTCCCAAAGGAGACCAGGCTGACTGCTCGTTACCCTTCAGGTCTGGAACTGAATTCACCCCTGTGCCAGAATAACCGACCATTTAAGATCAACCAGCAGCATTGGCCCAACGGCAAAGGTGGGAGGATCCAGAAGGCAGGAGGGGATGAAGATGGGAGACTCAGGGAGCTAGTGGGATGCGCGATGGTCTGTGGAGAGGATGGCAGTGCATACGTTGAAGCAGAATGTACGTGAACTGTTGAATGGAAAACTATGATCCGTGGATCCACGTTTTTTCTCCCACTCTAACCAGGACCTTCGAATGAGATCCTGTTCAGGGCCTGCCGGTAGTGGTTGCTGGGCACCATCTAGTTCTTCTGGTCTTGGGGGTGTGGAGGTCCCCTACCCCATAACACCTGCTTGGCTACATGCCCCTATGTCTTTGAGGTCACCACAGAAGGTCACACAGGGAAGCCCTTCACAGAGAAGGCCCCTCCCCTAGATTCCATGCCTCCTGGATGGAATCTTTCACTGTCTGTCGTAGCTGCAATTATAAAGAAAGATATGGACCAGGATTGATCAGTCAGCTCCCCCAGGAGATGCTCTGTCAACCTTCACCTAAGTCACACTAAAAAGCTTTGGCTTGGTGTGTTTGTTTGGTTTAACATCTGGGGGTGTGGGGACAACGACAAAGAACCATACCAGGTAGAGGGAGCAGCGTGAGCAAAGTCCTGACCATTCATATACAGAAAGGAGACCCGAGTGGCTAAAAGGTAGAAGCCCAGGAACTGAGGCAGAAAGCAGGTAGTGATTGGATCATTCAGGGCCGTTAGGCCCTGAGAAGGAATTCAAATGTATTCCAAAAGACCTAGAGAACTTTGGAGAAGGTCTATGTCAGCTGGCGGGCGTGATGAGACTTGCCTCCCTATAACTACTCTGGGAAATCATTCAAATATCCCTCAAGCAGCGAATGAAAGAATAAATAAATTAAAGCTGGTTTGTTATCAGTCTGAGGGGATGGATCTTTGGCCCTGAAAAAGATCCGTCTACTCGAATACGCGACCACGGGGATGAATCTCAAAAAAAAAAAAACCGAGGCCAACCTCCCGTGTCCACTCCACTCCTCATCCGTGCAGTTCTAGAGCCGTCTAAGCTGATCACACGGTCATGGACTTGGTGTCCCTGACCTGTACATGCAGCAGTGCTGAGCTGCAAGTGTCTGTATCTCAGCTCACTGCCACCGAGTTGATTGTGAGTCACAGCTGTCCCATAGGACAGAGTCGAACTGCCCCTGTGGGTCTCCAGAACTGTAAAGAAATCTTGACAAGAGGAGAAAGCCTCCTCTTTCTCCTGGAGGGCTGGTAGCCAAAGCCCAACTCTCTCGCTCCACGTGTATATTGACAGATACAGTGTGCATGCGTGTGTGTGTGTGTGTGTGTGTGTATGTACAAGCACACATCTATATCCCAAGCCCTTTTTTTTTTTAATTGATTCCAACTCATAGCGACCCTGTGGGACAGAGTGGAACTGCTCCCTAGGTTTCGGAGGCTGTAAATATTTGTGGGAGCAAACAGCACTCTCTCTCCCAAGGAGATTCAAACTGCTGACTTTGTGGATAGCAGCCCAGTGAGCAACCCATTATGACACAGGACGGTAGACAGTAGGTAGACAGACAGACAGGTGGGTGGTGAATGGATATTTACAACAGTTCTTAATTTTTTAATTCCTAAGACATTAAAATAAATAATTTTTTTTCCAAACCTAATCTGATGGAAATCAGGACAAATGGCCCGTTCAGACAGACAAATGGCCCCTTTCAGACAGGCATGGTCCCAGCCAGGCCTGTCCCGAAGGGCACCCCACTGTCTTCATCTGGGTGGTAGTGAACCTGCCCAGTGCACAACGCCATAGCAGGGCCCCTGGGTGGTGCCAACAGTTAAGCACTCATCCCTTGCAGAAAGGGTGGCAGCTGGAACCGCCCAGGCGTGCCCCGGGAGGCGGGGGTGGGGATGGGGAAGGCGGGTGTTTCTGCTTCGGTAGGGTCACGGCTTGAAAGGCCCTGGGGAGCAGTTCTAGGCTGCCCATGTGGGGTCTCCGAGGGTCTGAATCGAGCCCCACAGCAGCCAACAGCAACCAAAGTGCCAGGTATCACTGAACTGTGGCCCCTGGGCGCTTGGCACATTTTGCGTTCTTTCTTGAGGAGAGAAAGGGGGGCACACGTGGGCTGGCTGAGAGAGGGAAAGCCAGCTAGGAGCTGGCACTGGGATGCCCCTGTTGGGTGTAGACCATCTCAGCCAGGATGGCTCTCGACAGCCCCAGGACCACACCACGATCATGTCCGAACACAGAAACAAACAAGGAAGGGCATTGTGCAAAACTTAGACGTGACTAAGCATCACCATAGGCTGGCTGAATCCTGTATCCTGACATTAGCATAAGTGACGGCTTGGGCCTTGCTCGGTTCCTCTGGCCTCCTGCATACGCTTTATTTACGATACCAATCCAAGAAGACCCTAAACTTTCTGAAAGTCTCCCATCCAGGGCAGAGCCCCGCTTCTTAGGTACTTCCTCCAACTCCACAAACCCAGCTCCAGTCCCCTGATGCCCCACGGTTCCCTGGAGGCCGGAGAGCCTTTACCTGTTCGGCCAGGAACATAGAAACCCACTTGTTCAGCGCCTGGTATGTGCCAAGCGGTCAGGAGGGCATGGTGATTTGACCCAGGATGGCAACAAAAGAAACGATGAAACTTGGAAAGATGCGAACCGTTCCCAGGGGCTTCAAAAAGTTCTGTGTGAGGGGGATGGGAAGGCCATTCTTTTTTCATTCAATTTTCCCAGGGGCTTTTCTGGCGTCCGTGGGTTACGCATTGGGCAGCTGCTCCCTGCGAGGTCTGACTTCAAAACCATCAGCTGCTCCGAGGGAGAAAGGCGAGGCTTTCTGCTCCCAGAAAGAGTTACAGCCTCGGAAACCCACAGGGGCGATTTTGGCCTGCCTTCAAGGGTCACTATGAGACGGAATCAACTCGATGACAGGGAGCGAGTGGTACCAGGAAGAAGACGTGGCAGAGATTGGTGATGGATCGAGCGTGATGGATGCTGGGAGGATTCCAAGATGAACTTCCTGACACAGCATCACGGTGCTGACAGTGATAACAAGCTCACGGTGATAACAAACGACAGCACCGAGTCTTGGTGCTCACTCCCAGCCCGGTCCCCTTGTGCACACCGAGCATGCGTTAGCTCCTTGGATCCTCCTCCCAGCCCTCTAAGGCGAATGTCACGTGAGGGGGCGCGGTAGTGAAGCACTCCGGTTGGTAGTGTGAAACCCACCTGCTGCCCTGTGGCAGGACAGGCCTGGCTTTCAGCGCTAGGATAAATGGTTGCCGCAGTCCACGCAGAGCGACCTGCTCGACCACAGAAGGAAACACTGCGTGGCCGGAGCCATCCTCACAGCCGTTCTTACGTTGGAGCCATTGTGCCAAGCTGTCTTGTCAAGGGTCTTCCCCTTTGCCCGCCCCTCCACCTTACCAAGCATGATGTCCTCCTCCAGGGACTGTGTCCGTGGAGTCTCATCATCCCTGCCTCTAAGGAGCGTTCTGGCCACACTTCTTCCACGGAGACACGTGTATTCTGTTGGCAGCCCCTGGCGCTTCACTGGCACCACGGTTCAAATGCGTCCGTTCCTCTTCAGTCTTTCCCACTCCGTGTCCAACATGCATCCAGGGGCATGGAACATGCCTTGGCCTGGGTCAGGCACACCTTAGTCCTCAAAGTAGCAGCTGGTACACATCACAGCCTCGGAAACCCTAGGGGGGAGGGTTGCTCTGTGATGCAGCTTCGTTGTGAGTCAGGATTGATCTGGCAAGACCCTGGAACAACACGGTCTATTCAGCACCTACTGGATGCCAAGCACTTTCTACTTATCACTTCTGACTCACAGCTGCCCGACGAAAGACAGAATGAGCCCCATTTCGCAGGTGAGGAGACTTGAGGGCAAGAGTGGCAAAGAAGGGGCAGAACTGGGATTTGAACCCAGGGCTGGCCCTGATAACCTCCCACGCCACTTTTCGGAGCCAGGGCCTGGCCTTGAATGTGACTTGGAATTTTGCCACACAGACTCAAGTTCCCAAGGTCAAGTTTCAAGTCTGCCCTTGACCTTGAGCAAGAGGCAAATTCCTTTCTTTGGTGTTCGGAGACCTTCTCTATTAACAGAAACAATAGCAGATTTATCCAGTGCGTCCTGTGGGCCCTGGTGGCCCTGTGGGTTGGGCATTGGGCCATTGCCCAAAGGCTAAT